CGGCGCCCGCGTCTCCTCCAGCAGCCGATTGATGTCCTTGGCGCTGTACTGGGTCAGCGCGGCCCGCTTCTCCTCCCAGTCCCGCTCTGCAGCCTGTGGGGTTAGAGGTCGGGGTCTGAGGTCAGGACCTAGCGCGCCGTCACTGCGCCTCTTGCCGGCACAGTCCAGGTCGGGGATGGCCTTTAGCAGCTCGGCCTGCGTCTCCTCCAGCAGCCGATTGATGTCCTTGGCGCTGTACTGGGTCAGCGCGGCCCGCTTCTCCTCCCAGTCCCGCTCTGCAGCCTGTGGGGTTAGAGGTCGGGGTCTGAGGTCAGGACCTAGCGCGCCGCCTCACTGCGCCGAGCCCCGAACCCAAAGGAAGCCACAGAAGACTCCGCCCTCTCCTTGGCTCGTCCGCATATCCCGTGAGTCAGAAGTGCTCCGTTCATCGTACACCATTCTTCTCTGTTTTTGGTGGTGCTGGGGATTAAACCCAATGTCTTTGAACTGAGCTGCATCCCCAGCATTTTGTTCTGTTCTTTTTTTTGCTTTTTTTTTTTTTTTTTTTCTTTTTCAGTACTGGGGATCGAACTCGGGCCCTTGAGCTTTTGAGGTAGGCAGTGAAACCACTGAGCCAAATCCCCGGCCCTTTATTATTTTCTTTCTTTGAGTATATTGGTACATGTTAGGGATACAGTACAGTTACATTCATTGTTGGGATCTTGTACCTCTACATGACAGGTCTTGGTTCTCATTTTTTTCCCCTTGTATTTTTTTAAATTTTAATTTTATTTTTTAAATTTTGGGACAGGGTCTTGCTAAGTCATGAAGTTGCCCAGGCTGGGTTTGAACTTTGTGATCTTCCTGCCTCAGCCTCCTGAGTGCTGGGACCACAGGGATGCGCCCTGACGCCCGGCACGCTGCTTCCACCCTTATGGCTTTATAAATAAGTTTTCTGTCCAGAAGGACTAAGATCGCCTTCCTGAGGTTTTCCAGACTTCCATGCCGGACCCTCTTATCCAGACCCCGCCCTCACCCTGCCCCAGCCTGGTCCCAGCACCTCCACAGACACGGCCTTGTCCACGCTGCGCTTCCCAGGAGCATCCAGGCCTTTGGTGGGGTTGCCGCCTTTCGGGGTGAGGGGGGCCCCCTCGGCTGGGCCACTCAGCTCGTGCAGGTTCAGTGGAGGACTCGGGGGCGGCAAGTCGAAGTCCAAGCCCTTGCTGAAGTCCGTCTCGGCCGTCACCTTCTTGGGGGACTGGCTCAGAAGGTTGTTGGGGGGAGGCCACACCCCCTCGTCCGCTTGCCTGGGTGGGGAAGGGGAGCCGTGAGGCCGGGGTGGGAGCCCCCACATAGGGAAAACAGGGCCACGGCCCTGGGGACAGTGCATCGGGACCCCCTGAGGAAGGCTGGGCGTCAGAGACCTGCGGATCTGGGCCAGCGCGTCGGTGACCCCGCGGCAGCGCTTGAGCAGCCCGTCCAGGCGCTGCGGCTCCTCCTTCAAGAATTTCACGGCCTCCACCTCCACGCGCAGCACCACACGCATCTTGCTCTGCAGCCCGGGGAAGTGAGCTGGGGGCACAGGCGGGGTGAGCGGAGGGCAGCCCCACACCCACATCCCGGACGGGCAGGGCGGCGCGCGGCCTCACCCTTGAGGTCCGTCAGAGTCTCTCCCAGCTGCTTCAGCACCAGCGCCTTCTCCTCCAGCTCCGGGCCAGGCATCAGCCGGTGGCTGTGGGATGCGTCCCTCTGCAGCTTCTCCATCGACTTCTCCAGGTCACTGCAGCCACAGAGAAACCCGCTCAGGCCCTGGCCCTGAGACTGCACCGCCATTGGAGAGACAGGAAGGAAAAGCCGCCCACCAGGCCAGCACCATGGTGAAATCAGCGATGCCAAAGGTCAGAAAGAGGAGGCCAAAGAGCTCCCCTGCTAGTAGTGGTTGCTCATGCCTATAATCCTTGCAAGAAGGTGGCTGAGACAGGAGGATTGCCCAGAATTTGAGGCCAGCCTGGGCCACACAGTTCATTCAAGTTCAGTCTGGTCTGTGTAGCAAGACCAGAAAAGGAAAAAACAAAAACGAAGAAGTAACAGCTGGGTGTGGTGGCGCACACCTGTAGTCCTAGCATTAAGGAGACTGAGGCAGGAGGATTGCCGAGTTTGAGGCCAGTCTGGGCTACACAGCAAGACGCAAGAAGGTCCAGGTTCCACTAAGGAGCCTGGTGGCCTTTCAGAAGCGGGCAGGGAGGAGGAGGCAGGGCCCGAGGGTCTCCTGTCTGGAGCACCAGGTGCATCATCTCCCTGCTGTCAAAGGACCCAGCCCCTCAGCCTCCACCCTGGAGCCCAAAACCGCTGTAGGTTTCAGCAACTTCTCACTAAGCTCTTGTCACTTAAGACCCCACATCTCTCCAAAATGTAAATTAAAAAAGGTAATAGGCATCAGGGAGACACAGCAGATGTTTTGCAAATAAGAAGGGGACGGGAGGCCGTGGAGGGGAGGGTGGGGGAAAGGAAAGTAAAAACAGCTACGATGTGGCGTGGACGTTGGCCCGCTCCACGCAATGAATGTAATCCTGACTCGCTACAAACACGCACTGACCGAAACTTTTAAAATTAAAAATAGAGTAATAAAACATAAATGAGGTCAAGTCCCCACCCCTTGCCCTCCCAGAAAGGAGACTGAAATCCAAACTCCCCAGTGAAGCCAAGAAGGGCACAGGGGTGGCAGATGAACATTTGGCTCGACACCTGCAAGAGCCACGCTGCAATCCCAGCCTGCCCTTCCAGCAGAGACCCTGGCCAGTCAGCCTCTGGGCCTCCATCTTCTCACTGGAGATGCCCCTGTGGGCTGGTGGATGGAGCTCCCTGCTGATCCCCAACTGGCTTGCTGCCCTTTCTAGTGCCCTGTCTTGTCTCAATGAGAAGCTCCCCCAGTCCCTCCTCTGGGGTTGAGGCTCTGCCTCCTGACCCGCTCTCCAAACCCTGCAGTTCCTGTTTGCCGAGTTGTGTAACTCTGTGGACCACCGGCCCCAGGCAAGCCAGGTCTGTGTCTTCCAGATTTACCCCCGATTGCCAGTGCTTGGCACAGGGCCTGGTGCCAAGAGATGTCTGGTAAATAACGGGGGATGAACAAACACTTGGACAAAGGAACTGCTACAGCAAGTCCTTTCCATTCTGGTTCCATACAAGAACGACGACAGCCCCGGCCCACACTCGGGACAGGACACACATTTCTGTCAAACCCATCTTCAGGGTCTCAGCTCAAGCCAGGTGCAAGGAACTTGGGCTTTCAGTTCCACCAGCCAGCAGATCTGCTCCCCTTACGGCTGTGTCATAGCAAGTCTTATCAGCAAGCCTTATGTATCTCTAGCTAGAGGAGAACAGACAGGCGGGAGCCACACATTCCCCTGATTCAGCACTATCGAGTAAGAAGCTATCTTGTCCTGAGCACTTAATCATGACGGTCACTAACTTATTTTAACTCACAACAAATCCAGGAGTGGCAACGGTTATTACCTCCAGGTTACAACCGGATGTTCAGACGCCAGACTACATTTCCCATCCTCCCTTGCAGTGATCTACAGCCATGTGACTGAGGTCTACCCAGGGGGCTATGAGTAGTAGATGTCACTTCCAGGCCTGGCTCAGGAGAACCTCCTAGGGGAGCCCGCTCCCTTGCTGATTGCTTGGAAAGAAAACAGTCTTCTACTTGTGGATGGGAAAGCCCCACTCAGCCTGGGCCCTAATTGGCCACTGAATTCCCCAACAAAGAACCACCCTGAGAAGGAAACGAGTCTATCACTTTGAACCAGTATACAATTTGGGAGCTTCTTATCACAGCTGTCCTAAATAATCTTTGCAGTACTGGGGATTGAACCCAGGGCCTTATGCTGAGCTAAATCTGCAGCCCTTTTACATTTTTTATATTGAGATGTAGTTCAGTTTTGTTATGTTCTTTCTCAGTACCAGGGATCGAACTCAGGGCCTTACACTTGCAAGGCAGGTGGGGTGCAACTGAGTTAAATCTCTGGCCCTCATTTTTATATGGAGACAGGGTCTCATTAAGTTGCCCAGGCTGCCTCAGCCTCCCAGTGGCTGGGATTATAGGCCTGCAATACACCCAGCTTGCCCTAACTAATAACTCAGGCTTTGGCATATAAAGAAGAAAGAGGCTCAGAGATTAACCAGTCCATGGCTACAGACCCATTCTGTGGCAAAGCGCTATGTATGGAGTCTGACCTCAGCCACCAGCAGCGGCATCTCAGTCCACGCTGGGCAGTGGGTATGCACCGTCCTCCGCAGCTCTGCACACCACAGAGGGAAGATCATCTCTCCCTGCCTGTGTGTGTGACACCTGACTGCTTCAGGCCCGGCCAGTTTTGTTAAATGTCACCACTCCCACATGTCACTGTGAAGGAGAAGACAACTTCACTTGAAGGACTCTGGTGAGCTTCAGGAAGAGAGAACACTGCAACTCTCAAGTAGAAGGGACTGGGCTCAACCTACACTCTCCTTAAAAAGACACTGGATGAAAAATGGCTAAGAGAGCCAGGCATGGTGGCCCCCACATAATCCCAGCTACATAGGAGGCTGAGGCAGGAGGATTGTAAATTTCAGTCCTACTTGCACAATTTAGCAAGACTCTAAATTTAGCAAAATTAAAAAAAAACTTTTTAAAGTCAAAAGGCTTTGGGATTAATCCCCACACCACCAAAAAGAAAAAGTGGCTGAGGGCTGCTGTGTTGCTCACTTGTCTGGCATGCGCAAAGCCCTGGGTTCATTCACAGCACCATAAGAATGAGTAAACGAATGGATGAATTCATGGCTGTGCTTTTCAGATGTTCACTTCGTCCTGGGAGGGTTTTGAGGCAAGGCTGGGACGGGTCCAGCTACATAGGCTTCACTTGTGAACCAGAGATGCGATTCCCATTTTGCACTGGGCAGGAGTCTCTGCTGGGAGGGCGGAGAAGCCGGCCACAGGCAGATTTCCAGGTCCCACAGGGAAGCTGTCTGCGTTCTGGGTTTGATGAGGGGCAGGGGTTGGGGTGTCTGTGAATCCCTGGATCTCATAACGGAAAGTGAATGAATCTGCCCTTTTATCTCTCCTGCCTCTGTGCTTTTACACTTCCTCTGATGTCTTCCTACAGTTCCTCCTTTTGAAAGTTCTGACCCAGCTTCCCCAGTGGAACGGAAGAGACAAGGACAGGACAGGTGGGTCTGAGGCAGCGGGGAGAGGGGGCAGGTGGGCTCTGCTGTGCTTGGCCATCTGGCTGCAGCGTCACCAGCGATCACCCCTGCGGTGTGGGGTGGCTACTGCCCGTGTGACTTCACCTCAGCCACACACAATCACGGGGACCCTGGCCTCATACCTTGGTATGGACCCTGGGCTGACAATTACTGGCCTTCTCAGGGAGCCCCTTAGAAGGGTTCCCGATATGACTCAGAGACAAAACTGGGCTCCTTTGAGTAGCTCTTGGGCTCCTTGGGGTCTCTGAATACAACCCAATCCCTATCCGAAAAGAACGGCAAAAAAAAAAAATCTTCATACAGGACTCAGATAAAGACACTGAGGGGTGCAGGGGGCGGGAACTGCCCTGATCACACGGTCCCCAGGTCCCTCAGAGAAGCAGGAGACCGACCAGGCATGGGCAGCGAGGACACAGGCCCACAGAACATGGTGAGACAAGGCACGGTGACGCCCTGGAGGCACGGGGAGAGAAACGATGCACCAAGGTCTTCGGCCACCTAGGACCGCCTCACACTGTGGCCAAGCTGCAGACTGGCCAGGTGAGTGGGGACAGCGTGGGATCGCTTTCGTTATGGGGCCTTGGGGGAGTGATTGCTTCCTCTCGCAGGATACGAAATCCTCTACCCTAGTATCCACTACGGGAAAGCACTCCCTGCACGGTCCGTGAAAGTGCCCAGACAGAGTCCTGGCTGGCAGCCGTTTTTCTCGTCCCCTTTTAGTTGTTCTTTGTTAATAAGCTTCCCTCCTCTACCCGTGGTTTTGTTCTTCAGCACCACAGAACGCAGCCCGCCGCTCTGTAACACGAGTGCGCTCCTCGGACAGCGGTAAGGGCCCTCTCCCTGCACAGGCGCCGGCCCACAGCATGGCGACCAGACAGCCATTTGCTAGATTTGGCTCCGAGACTGTCTTGTCCACGGCTGAGCGCTTGGGGTGGGGCGCTCTGGTCCTCCCTTCTTCCAGAACACGGAAGCCCGGCTTCAGCGGTGCCAGGAAGGGAGGAGGCTCTCCCTTCGCTAGGGCCGGTCTGGGGGACTAAGACTGGTGTCGACAACGCCCCAGTGCTCTGCTCCCCAGGGACACTGTGCGTGGGGCACAGCCTAGAACGAAAGCAGGCAGAGGGCAGAAGGAGATCAGGCAGCGGCCCACAGGGGCCACGGGGGTGAAGCTGAGGCCACAGCGAAAGCAGGCACCAGGCCAGGAAGAGAAATCGGGAATTGTGCCAGATGATCAGAGGTTTGTGGGTCACAGAGAAGCCAGGCCACGGCGGAGGAGGAAGTCAGGCTTCCGAACAGACGCACGTCGCCGCGAAGGAGATGCGCTCCCGGGGAAGGCAGGCGGCGGGTCCCCCGGCGCCCGGGCCCCTCCCTCCCTGCCTCGCGCCCA